CAGTTCTCTCTCTCTCTCTCTCTCTCTCTCTCTCTCTCTCTCTCTCTCTCTCTCGGGAAATATTTTCCAGCCACGAGAATTATCAAAATAATTTCAACCGAGACTAATTAAAGCTTACATAACGTTTTGCAAACGCACAAATACGATATTTCTCGTGCCACTTCGTGCTGGGAGCTAATTAACGAGCGAACGTGTTGCGATCGAAATTATAATATAAAGCCGCTATCGAGCAGGTATGCCGTATAACGATATGGTGCCGTTTCGCAATGACATGGGATTGGCGTGTGTGCCCGATGTCGTAATCGTTTGTCGAATGTGCAATGAAACAGAAAATCCGGTAAATTTAATGAGATTCCCGTTCGAAGAGAAAGGGTTGTTCTCTTAGCTGCAGCTAACGCGGGGAGGAAAGCCGAAGGTAGGCATAAGGATTCACGGTCGTGAAAACCAGTACGAAAATATCGCAGCGATATATACGTCCGCCCGCTTTCTTTTTACTGTTTCTTGACCCGCCATAAACCGCCAGGAATTTAGGTATCTCGTATCGCATTAAACAAAAAAATCTATCCTGTCGCGTAATTACGTCTATTATCGACATGATAGAAGAGAAAAAGGTTTTTGTTTATTTTTATGAAACGCTTGTCGGTTGATTGAAATACGACGTTTATCTTAGATGAACCGCGTGATCGGATAATCTTATCACAACTTACGCACTCGTGTGCTTGACGTATAAAGTTCGATAAATATCCAACCCTGGGTGTGAGAAGTGTGTTGAGCAATGAACTATTTCTATGAAACTTTCGCACGATACATCATCGCCGTTTTCGATACTGCTCATCTAGATACAGTCATCGTCTAAATTATATCACGTTTACAATCAGGATTATTTGACGATGAATAATATCGTATAGTTATAGCTCGTGCTATTATTTTCAATTTGCTAAGATTAACGTATAGGAGACACAACCTTCAGTTAGCAGCAATTGGCAGTAAAAACTGTGAAACACAGGAAATATACTATTTGTTTTTTTTTAATGGAAGGTTGATCTATTATTTGTCTTTATTACACAGATTTTATCCTTATTAGAATAAAGTCACGCATGCTTGACTACAATAATAACTCACATAGCGTTATACTATTCTTCTAGCAAAATATCTTCACGGAAAAAAATGATTTTGCTGAAATATCTAAAAATTTAGGTGTCAACAGGTGTGAAAATAATTTAAATATCATTAAAACTTAAAATAGTTGTATAGAAAACTGAAGCAGGATGAGCAATGCTACAAAAAGTTTTGACATTCTACAGAACGTTTCTATTATAATTATTTTGATAATCCTATAAAATTATTAGATCTGTTCCAATCTAAATTATTAAATACTTCAAAACTGTTCTTAAAGGTATTTTTAATTGCTTAAAAAATATTGGAGAAAAAAACCTATTTCTCCCTTTGCTTTTTAAAACTACAAATAATTCTATGACATTTAAATCACGCAATTGCATTAGTAAGGAAAAATGTTAAAGTTTTTGGAAAACAGGTAATTTTGAGAAATACAGTGAGAAGTAAGTTTTTTCTTTCAATCAATATCATTTACAATGGATGATCATATTATATTAGAGCCTCGTGCATAAATTAACAATTTTACGTTGAAGCAATTACTGTTTCAATGAAAACATAGCTGCGCTGTGTTGTTGTTTTTCTATAAAATGCTGATGTTTACATATTTTAACGACCACAGATAACACTATCTCCTCACATATACGCCATTTAATATAAACGTCATCAATCACCGTTTGTAAGCCTCATGTTTCACGCTTGTTTGTTAAATAAATTTTGAGATTATTCGAAATTTATTAACATTTTAATTACTTTCGTTGTATTCTTACAATATCGTCTCGCTAAGTAGTGTATTTCATGACATCTTTGTGATAAGTGTTAAATTATGATTAATTAATTGATTTATAGAAGAGAGATTTTTTTTTAACATGGGCAAGGACAAAGATATATTTGTCCAAGGAAACTTTCCGAAATAAAAATGCTGATAATGAATACTGTGCATTATCATGTGTACCGACCTTCATATGCCAATTTTATTTCTACTCAAACTTAAAAAGTACATTTTTCGAACTGTAGCTTTAATCATTTCGTCTACTTGAACGATTTAAAGTTGTTTTACTAAAAGATTAATTACTCAACATTCTATTAATAATTATTCACAAGCATTGTGTGACTTTATTTCAACAAGAACAGAATGTATAAGCAAATGATGGGCCAACCTCTTATCAATAATAAAATAAATAAATAATTTATTTTCCAAGGTTCATATTTTTTAATTTGTCTGTCCCTATATATATATATATATATTGTGGGATATTACATGTATCCAGAAATAAATACGTTTTTCGTCTGCTAGAGAGTCTGTTTTCACGTTCTCCGCGTAGAGAGGATGGATGGCCACGTAAAAGTATCCCGTTACCACGGTAGCCCAGATACCGGATTACGGAGCACGAATTGTCAATCGCGTGCGAACGAGACGGGCTTCTTAAAAGGCCTTTCAAAGTGTGTTGCGGAATGGCGTCTAGACGAAGAACTTCACCGTCGGATATTTATTCCGAAACAATAGAAATTTGCACGAATCGGGTTTCCCTGAAAACAATTCTGAAATACCATTGATATTTCAGAATTCTGGGGAAAGGAACATACCTGTATAAGATCAAGTTATTTTAAGAATTCTCTCTCTCTCTCTCTCTCTCTCTCTCTCTCTCTCTCTCTCTCTCTGTTCTCCGAGAGTGATATGTCGCTGTATAAAAATTTCAGACAAATGATTCGTGATTGATTGGAACTGGCTGACGATGCATTTAATAGGAACGATGCCAAGACATATTTATATTCGTTTTTCATCAAGCTGTTCATCTGTTCGTATCAAATTAACGCATACCGTTACCGTAATATGTCGCTGTCCCATTAACATAATTGTTAACAGAGCCATAAGGCGTCGGCTCGGCTGATCGGTATAATAGAGTAAACAAGCTGCACGCTACACAGCCACTTAATCTTCAATTGTGCAAACGTTTGTGGGTTATATTACGAGAATTTTCACGTGATGCGGTTCGACTAGCGTTCTAGCCGAGCACTTTTAAGCGTTTCTCACTCGATATAAATCAGTTGCGCGTTAATCGAACCATAAATCGTCGATAGAACATTGTTCAACGAAAGAGCAGCGAGCGTATTCCTGTAGCATGCAAGAGAGATATCGACGAGATCGATAGTAGAGTCGAACTGGAGAGCGAGAACCTCAAGCCCGGATTTCAGGGAACGCTTTCAGGCTGAGCGCTCGTTAGAGGTTTTCGATAAGGCTTCCCGTTTGTTATTTCAACAACACGTTCCACTGAATCATAATATCGATAATAGCGTAATGCTGGGATGCCGGAGAGACCCGCGAGCTGAATGGCGCGAGTTTATGTCTTCCGACCGCCTATTTACAGAATGTAACCCGCGAGCTACAATGAAAATGACTTCTTCTTTCAGTCTGGTATTCTCCTGCTAGTTTTGCGAGGGGAATCCCTGAAGGGATCTTAATCGTTTGCTTGCGTTCTCGTAACGAAGAAACGGTAAACTGTGTTGCTTCATTTTGAACGAAGAATCGGTAATAATATATAAATCGATATAATAATAAAATAAATATACACTTCATATTTAAATAATATATATTATTAAATATATATTATTTAATAAATAACTTCACGTGCGTTCAAAATTAATTACTTTGACACGGAAACAATTTTGCTGAAATATTGAAAAAAGCAGGATCTGAAAATAATTTTATTAAACTATCCAAACATAATGTGGGGCGCTCAAACTGATTACTAGAATGCCAAAATTTTTTACAGTATTGCTCATTATGTTTGAGCTTCTTACACAATTATTTTGATGATTCAATAATCATTTTCAAATCTGTATGTAGCTAAATTTTTAGATAATTCAGCAAAACTTTTCCGTGTATTACTTGAAAATTAGTTGATAGAAGAAGAAATTTCATAGTGTTGATTATGACGGAAAAAATGCTAAATGGACTATGCGTGCCTATTTGTCGTAATCACTAAATAAAATGTCCCAAATTAATGGGAAATTTGTGATTACCGGATGCCCGTGGAGAGTTCTATTTTTTTCGCTCAATTATTACGGTAATTAACCTATTTGATACGCTATCGGCATCGTATAATGATTCCCGGGTGTTGGGAGTAATGATAGTTCTTTTTAATTTAACGCTCAATATGTGTCTGAAACTTTCCTTTCTTAATATATATTATTTAAACGTTATTCTAAGAATTTGCGTGTTTGTATTGAAGCCTTTAATCCTGTACTTTATTACTATTATTTTGCTCGTACATTTTAAAAATGTTTATATTTTTATATGTAACGTATATCTAATATGTATGCGATATTTGGAGATAAAAGATAGGTTTAAGGAAAATAAATTTAAATTTTTAATCTTATTGTATGCACAACAAGATGAAAAATTTAAATTTATGTGTGTATTTAGCCATAAAATGTACAGGTTTAAAGAACATTTCGAAAATAACAGATTTATACCTTTAATTTGGTCGCAGTATTTGAAGAGAGATAAAAGATATATAGGTTTAAAAATAAGTTTTTAGAATAAATAATTTACCTTTTATGTTGGTTATAGTATTTGGAGATAAGAGATGGTTTAAAAAATTTTAAGAATATATTTCTAAGAATAATAAATTTATCCAGGCTTTATCAAGCTGACATTATTTGTTGTCATTTTGACATGAATAAATGACATCAAAATGACGACAAATAATGTCAGATTGCTATCTGGACTTAATTGTAATTTTAATTGTGCCCAGTATTTAGCAATGAGTTTAAAAAAGGATTTCAAGAATAATAAATTTACTTGTAATTTTCGTTGCATGCACAGTTTTTGGAGACGAAAGGCAATACGACGAAAAGAAAGGTTTCCGGAATAATGAACTCACCTTTGATTTTGGTCTCCTGTGGATCCAGAGGGGGTAATCGTGGATGAGTCTGCTGCCCCGGTTTCTTCAGCAGGACACCCACGACTTGCGGTGGCGGCATCATCATTTCCGCTACTCTTCCGAACGCCTCCTTTCACTTTCGAAGCGTCAATTCGCGTCGCTGGTCATATCGATATCGCACTCGCGCACGAGTCGATCCCGATCGATGAAAAATTAATCCCTTCTCGATCCTACGTTTCCTCCTTTCGACTTCGCGAGCAAGTAGTTTTCGCTAACGTTTAGACCTCCTTTCTAGTCCACTAGCTTTTTCTCATTTTGACCCGAGAGAAAACCAAAATTCTCTCTCTCTCCCACAGCGGAATCCCGAATTGAAGAAGCAGCTGCCAATCGTCGCTAATTGCTTTGTTGGCCGACAAGCTCGCCGAGAGGAAAGAGAGAGAGAGAGAGAGAGAGAGAAGAAAGACGACGAAGGCGCCGGCCGGGACCTCCTTTCCACTGACGATGCTCCTTCTGCGTGCCGCCTCGTTATCGTCCGCTCCGCTACGCCACTCGGCTACGTCCTCCTTGTCGATTGGCGTCGCCCGGTATATTTTTTTTAATTCGATCGCCGCGCGAGCGTGACCCCGCGCGTTCTCGGCGCGCCAAGAAGGACGCGAGCGCCGATTCGCGAGCTATTATCGCCGAGAGCTACACTCGTCGTGCAATGTTTGCGAGCCATTCGTTGACGAGTCCGCCAACGAGTTCATCAAAACGACCCTTACCAGCTCTCGTGCCAATCGAATCCTCATTCGAAGGCCTCAACCTCGTCGGCAATCGGCGATTATTTCCGAGCGCTCGGCGGGACCAACGATTCGGCTGCTCCTATCTGCCATCGTCCCGCGAGAATTCGTCCCAAAGAAACGCGTCAACCAATCGCGACTCCTCATTAATTGTGTGGACAATTAATTGTGTTGGTTGTTACGGCTTTCGAGACGCGTTGAGAGTCTATTAGTCTTATGTGAGTCTTCTTCTTAATTTTGAAGACGCGACGACATCAATTGAACGCAAAGAACGTAATCTGCGTAATAAATGCTCTTATCACGACGTGTTGATAAGTCGAATAGAAGGCGACATCAGGCCGTGAGAGTTTCTCGATCGCGACTTTCGGGTCGGAAGGCCGACGCTCGTCTCTCGTTGCGCTCCTCGTCTCGTTTTTCCCGCATACACGATGATTTTCGGCCAGAATGCAATACCGAATGTATCGATCGTGGCCGCATTCCGAGATTACAGAACGCGAATGTTAATGCAATCGCAATACAAATTGTAGAACGGCAATGTTAATTTATCACGATTGGATGGCTTTTATAACGGCAATTATGTCGACAATCGTAAGAATCACTATTTTGCACTCACGTGAAATTTAATCTGCCTTCATAGTATTAGCGTACACCCATCGCGTTACAGACAGTTATCATTCGTGCAACACTCCGAATTTCTTTCAATTAAACTGACTGCTCCGAAACATCGACGACGAGGAAATTGAAGTCGACGATCGATTCGTCCTCCCGACGAACGTCACTTCCACCTTGTCGATCGATTTGTGATTTCGATTAGAAATTAAATCTTTCTCTCTCTCTCTCTCCCTCTGGCGATCGTTGCAACGGTAAGCAAAACTTTTGCGAGGCACACTTCTGGCACTTCCGGTACTCGATGGAAATGACCACGAACCCCCGCGGAGCGTTGTCAGCGTTATCACCTCGTGCTTCCAAGGGGTGTGATCGATCCCTCACCAATTACTCCGGCGGCTTTGCACGCGCGTCAACACGAAACAGAGGAACGTACGACAAAACGCCAACGTCGCGACAGCTTGGCGCGCGCGCGGCGAACAACTGATCGCAGAACGAATACGGCCAACGAGAGAACGCATCGTATACCCTACTCGCTTGCCCGGTCCCCACTACCCACCATCTGCGTCGGTTATCTCTTTCTTTTCTCGAACACGAGAAAAGGAGGGGGAGAGAGAGAGAGAGAGAGAGAGAGAGAGAGAGAGAGAGAGGGAAGGCGGAGAAAGAGAAAACCCTTGTAAACCTTTTAATCGTGTTTACAATTACAACCTTTAGGACGACGTTAATATTTATATATTTTTTTCCGCCGACTCGCAATGATAAATGGTGTGGAAATGGTTTCTTGGAAATTGATTCCGTCAATTTTCTGAATTAAAATCGTGAGTACATAAAATCACGGCTTGATGAAGTTTGGAATTAGATTTTATCGAAAAATAAAAAGGATTAACCATCTAAGGGACGAGTGTTGCATATTTGCGATTAATACTTTCACTTTAAAATTAAGTTTGGGATAAATTTGGAGTAAATTCAAGATCAGATATGTAAAATCGCGTTTTGCGCCACTTATTACATTTTTTGATGTGAAAGCATTTGTGAATTAAATCAAATTTTTGATATATAATATGATGATCAAATTTTCATAAATTCGTGCAAGTAGTTTATTTAGATCCACTTAAAAAGATGTTTTTAACGTATTAAACTTCGAAAATATATTTGACAGGAGACGCTACCGCGTCTCTTGATATCGTTCTGTCTCACTCGAACGCATACACCTGCCTTTATGCGACGTATTTCAGCGCCATCTATTGCAAAACCGCGCAACTACTACTATACGGAATTTCGGCTCTGTTGACATTCCTAGTCTTCACAAAGCATCCGTATACACGTGTTTTCCCCCCATTCGGTGAAAATTCTTTTCTTCTAAACTTTCAATCTTATAGTTTTACAAACTCAGTATCGTTCGTTTCAGTGACTTCAACTGTACCTTTATTTTCAAGATATAGACTATAAAACTCTTACATCAAGTAAATCCGAAGTGACAACTGTATGTCAAAAGTAAGTGAATTTTTTAACTTTGTTTCGATTTTCTCGTGAAATCCAGTACAACTGAGGCACCTATTTGTGCGTACTTTAATTCTGTAATAACAATTTTGCAATCCGTAAGTCCAATTCGGAGATTTTTCATCAAATGGAAATGATGGTAAAATAGGACGACTTTAGCGTCCCCAAGTACTGAAGATGGAAATGTATGTAGCATTGAAGTACTTTCAACTGTCACAAAGTCTATTCAATTGTGTCTATTGTTATCGATCGATTTTATAGTTGCAGAATATTTTCGAGTAAAATCAGTTAAAAAGATTATTTTTTCATTGACAAAACGATATGCTACCTCTAGAAGATTAATGGAGAATTCTAAAGCATTGTTTTAGAAGAGGATAATAGATGTACACTTACGCGTTTTGCCTCAATGCAATTTTCTTGAGAATTTTTTCCATATTGATAATTATACGAATCATTGTTTGCATTCACATAAAGTTTAATCTGCCTTTGTAATAATGCAATTATTTCGTAGAGTTTACTCGAGACACAGAAACTCATCTTGAAGGCTCTCTTTGCTTCTTGTCTGTGTGTTATACTTATAAATTTAAATTTGACATTACTTATGATGAGAATCGCATTGTTTGCGGAAACTCTCTCTCTCTCTCTCTCTCTCTCTCTCTCTCTCTCTCTCTCCCTCCCCTCTCTCTTCAAGATTTTATCATCGTTGAGAAAGAACTATTCTTATCGTATCTAATTACTACTAAGACTGTTATTAATAACTCGCTTCGATTTTAATTGTAATATTGCTTACGATATACCACGCAATCGCTAGTTTGCCTTTCGCCATCGACGGGAAGGATACGGAAACTGATATTTTTCAATCTCTCGCTGCCGAGACGCAGGATGCGGGAACTCGATCTCAGCCTATGACGCGCGAAGGTTTCAAGACCGCCGATCTATGACGATAAAGTGCAAATTAAAAATGCGGTGACACACTTTCACCGTTAAGTACCGCTACTACTCGCAACGTAATGGCCACCATTCAGCTTCTGTCTGGATAATAGAGTACGACGCGCGTAAAAATTTCGCGCAATTATTATGATCGCGAGTAAAATAGCTCTTGTCTGGTGCAGAGAAAACCTTCCACGAAATAGGGCTTCTGTCACGAGACCAGGTTATCGTCATTCACGACGGGCGAAAAACATACTCGCGTGACTCAGTTCGTTCTCCCTCTCGGTCGAGCAGAGCGATTTCATCCGTTTTCTTCGAAAATCTATTTGGGAGTGCAACGAAACTGCAACGCGAGCGAACAAAAGCGGCCCCACTGGAAAAAGTAACCATATACTACTATCGACCGTGTTATGCTCTGGGAATATCGCCCCTTACATTGCCCCGTCGGGGCTCGAACACCATAAAACTTCAGAAAGTGTCACGCGATTTGCGCGCATGCAATAGCGGCGACGACGTATTATAGCCGGGTTTCGTACATTATAGCGCTCGGGGTCTGTATTAGAATTTAGAACATGGAGGACGTTCTTTGTATTCACGTATGCGAGGGCTATTTTGTAACAGACACTATAAAATATATACTATACGTAGAGGGATAAAAAAGAAGTAAAGAAGACGGAACAATACGAACTTGTGAGATCTTTCTATTTTGAGGAAAATACAATCAAAGACATAAATAACTAAAAGAAATATTGTTATTATATAACAAATTTCGTTATTTATATAATATAATGATTTATAACGAGCTTCGATTTCGACCGTCATTTTCCGTTTAACTATGAAGATCTTACACAAAAAAAGGATGGTTTGTATAAAAATTTAACTATTTGAAAATAATTTTGTTGAGCCATTAAAAATAACTGTACACTCAAATTGATTACTAGAGTGCTTTTTGTAGTATTACTAATTGTGTTTGAGATATATTATCTTTATCTTTATGCTATTATATATTTTAAATTACAAAATTGTACAACTGAAATAATAGAATATTTTAAGTGAAATAATACAATAATGTGTTAAGTAAAATAATAAAGTGTTTGAATTAACGCAATTGTAATTTGAGTGAAATTATAAAATATTTTGAGTTAAGTAATACAATGTTTGACAATGCAACACAAATGTTTCAGAGTAAATAAAGAATTCAATTCTTCTAAAAAAAACATTTAGATTTAGATAATGATACAGTACATTACTTAAAACGTTATGTCGATTTGCTGGGAAATTATTACTACATTTATTAAATTTAAAAAAATTCGCGAAAAAAAAACTACTTTCTCTTCTCAAAAAAACGTGATCAAAATACGTCCTCCTTTTCCGAAATCGTTTCACTTTTGTCTGAAATGTTTTTTCGTATTTTCTATATTTTTCAAAATATTTGTTTGTTAAGATTAAAAACTGAATCACCCTATATATAAATATTACTAACCACTAAAATCTGCTTTGATAAAAAATAGGAATTTTTCTTTTACTTGTTAAATTTTAAAATACTTCCGCAAAATTGTTCTTTCCGTGTATACATCGGAGTCGCTTTATTGATTACTAAGTTTTGCTTGAAAATCAGATTGTTAACGAGACAAATCGATATAGTCGATCGCGTTGGAGAACAAGGTATAATTGAACGATGCGTCGATCCATATCGGGGCGGAGTGTATCGATAATCGCACAGCACGATGTTAGACATTTCATCGCCATCATAGTAATATATATTTCGCACGCGTTCGATGCAGACAAAGAACGTGGCAGTCGAATTTTCGCCGGCAGCTGGCAACGTAGGTCTTTGCACCAGACAAGTGTGAATATAACAAAACTTTCGGAAAATATTTTTATCTCCCTCACGAAGCACGGAAAAATACGATACAGTCAGCCATACCGAAGGTGGAGACGACGAAACGAAACGAGAAGCTCCAAAAATAACTGATTCCAGCATGGAAAGAACGTTTGCCGAAGTATATAAAAATTTAGCGAAACATCTGCATAGAAAGAATAGTTTGTTGGGGTATGTAAAAGTGTAACTTTATATAGATTTGAAAATACTTTTGTTGGACCATCAAATAATTATATAGGACTGCTTGCTAAAATATCAAAACTTTTTGTAGCGTTGCACATCATGTTTGAGTATTCTATATAATTATTTTAATAGCCCAACAAAATTATCTTTAAATTTGTATCTAACTAAAAATTTAGGTGCTTCAAAACTGAATGGGTTTCTTTCAGATAGAAATAATTTTGTCCTTCTTTTTTTCATCCTTTCTTTCATGATGATATATTATATGGAGTCAGGAAGCCAAAAAAGTACAAACTTTACATATTTTTATATAAAACTATTTTTATTTAACAGGTCAATATTTGATTAAAATTTGATAATTTTTTAATTCCAAAATATTAAATAATAATTAAGTTATTGTCGATGGCCGGGAAATCTTTTTTTAAAAAGCATTTTGCGGTGACTAATATTATTTGAAACCAATTTATATAAAATGAAAAAATCAAAAAGATTTATTTTATATTTAAAAAATTTATTTTTAAAGATTTATTTTTTAATAGTTTAAATATTAATTTTTTAATAGTTCTCAATTTTCCGAAAAATTGTGTGAGGATAAATGACGACTGTTTAAAGATAACGTTTCGATTTTACAAAAAAGAGACATTTTTTGTTTATAAAAAAAAGTATGTATTGAAAAATCCTTTGATTAAAGACCAGATTTAAATGTCTTAATTAAAAAAGTGTAAAATTTTAGATTGATCAGTAGAGCGGTTTTTGTAATATTTTAGTGACTAATTTTGAAAATATAGTTTTGAGAAAAGTGCGTTTAAAGTTTCAAGTGCAGTTCACACTAAATTAAAAAATTTATTTTTCAACTTATCCAAAGTCATCTATTTCAGATTCATATAAAGTATCTTCTGTCGAAGTTGTAGCCTATAAAATATCAATTTCATATTGCCGACAAGATATTGAAAATTGATTTTTTCTGCGTATAATCT